CAACAAGGCGAAAGCAGCAGTGTTTTTTGTGTGGATTTCTTCCGCTGCCTATACGTATGGAATGTTCACTTTGGGACTGGACATCGACCTTGGTGACGCCCCAGTGCTTCTGTACAGAATACATTATTTAAAGAAATTTGGAAGGCATTTTATCATTCCAGGGTATGTTGTACCTTTCACGATCATGGTAGTTATGGGAGTGACGATTTGGCGAACCGTGCATAACCATAGCAGACGCATTTCGGCGTACTCTTCTACGGGAAAACAGACCAAAAATGACGTGAAGACAGCGAAGACGATCGGCTTCACTGTAGTTGCTTTTTTCTGCATGGGTGTATTACCGATGTTGCTACACAACATATCTAAAGTTCACGGTTCATGGCCTCATTTCCTCGCTTTCTTTCTCAATCATCTAAACAGTATGGCAAATCCGATCATTTACTCTCTGAAGACTCCTCGGTAAATATTCATGTTGTGATTATTCTTGTTTCCATTTCATTTGCAATACAAAAAAAAAAAGTAACAGCACTTTGACATTGACTTTGTCTCTTGATCTTTCATTTTACAATAACAATAGGTTGTTGTTTCTTTTTATCGTTGGTGGCCATATCAAATATAAATTTAGTAGGGGCTTGAATGACTGAATCTACAAATCAAGTTTGTTTCGCCGCATATTTTTTTAGAACTTTCTGTTAAATCCAGGCAAGAAGTAAACACGTCCTTTTTTCCATAGGTTTCGTAAGGCGTTTATTCTGTTCTTGAAGGAACCTTTGGGCAAGTCCCAGCCACTGATGGCTTCCAAGAATCGGATGGATCTCAATTCCACAACGAGGAATTTATCTTCGAAAGTGGATATGTTTCACACCCAGATCTCATCTGTTTAAATCTTGATGATAAATTCTCTTTGCGTATCACTTTTGTTCCATTGTACAGCAGTAATAGTTTGAAAACGTCAACTCGACGTTTATTGAATATGTAACAAGAATTGGGTTGAGATTGTTATTAGGATACAGTTCACCAGCGTGGACATTGGAAAAACCCATATTTAACGAAATTCATCGTTTACATTTATTTTTGATCCATAATCTAAAGATTTCCCTAAGGTTACCTAAGCCATGAAAAGCAAAGTAACATTTATCTTTTACACACAGTTTCTACAAACTCTCTCCACAACGAGGAATTTATCTTCGAAAGTGGATATGTTTCACACGCAGATCTCATCTGTTAAAATCTTGATGATAAATTCTCTTTGCGTAGTTTAAAAACGTCAACTCGACGTTTACTGAATATGTACGTTCAAAGTCGCTTAGCGAAGTTTATTTCTTTTGTGGTTTTACTTCATATGCACAGATACTAATCTTCACAAGTTGTCTCCCCGGCCTGCGGGAAGACAACTTTAGTTGTGAAGATCGAGTGAAACTCTTTCCTTGTTCACGGGTTTTACTTAAGATGCACAGACGTAAAGGATAAACAGGATTGTTTAACGAGTTCATGTCGTGAGTTGCTGGGCATCTTGAAAGTCTTGGTGAATGCTGTAGTCATGGTTGGATCTGTAGTAGGAAAAGGAATAACATGCCTCCTACTTATCAGATTCAGAACTTTAAGAACAGTTCCCAACATCCTCATCCTCATCCTCATATATATAAAGTATATATTTATTTCTCTTTTACACAGAATTTCCACGAGGGCGTATAAGTTGAGGTTATGAAATATTTCCTTGAAGTAGCATCTTTTTCCTTCAGCTATCGTTATTAATATTAATTCCCGCTGGTGGCAATTTTCATTTTCAGGCTTTATTTACACATGCCTAGAATAATCATAAACTGTCTTCCGCTGTCAACCTCTCAAAAAAAATCTAGTAACTTCTTTGCCTTTCATCCTGCACTTCGTATCACTTGAAGATTTCAAAACATGAAGCTGTCTGTGAACCACGCAGATTTCCTTACGTTTTGGAATCTATCCATTGAAGAAAAATAAAGCCACTTCTAAAAGAAAATTAAAACTGTGTAACCGCTCTGTCATTAAGTTTCTTCCTCTAGAGTAAAAATTCACATGATCATATAATTTGAGGTGGAAGACGTTGTACAAGAACATTTGTACTGGACATGTTAAGGTTGCAGCTGTCTAGTGTTTCGTTCAAGTGTAGGAATAAAGTTGAAATATGAATTAAGTAAAGTACCTTTTTTTACATCTTAAATTTTCTCAGCGTTAACTAGCAATATGTTTTCAGACATGATTAGGGGATGTTACAATAGAGAACTTAAGCAGAGAAATACTCTCGACGCAGATGGCATGACGCAAATTGACAAAGGCCGCTTTGACAAAGCCACCTTGACGCAAATGAATCGACCGTACGATGTGGCTCTAACATTCTAAACCAAATTGTGCTAATCATAGTTAGCATCAGGAGTGAGTAGTTTTAACTTTCTATTGACGTCCGCCTAATATGACGTTGTTTTAAACTTTACCCGAGGCCAACTTCTCAATGTTATCTTTACCATCCCGAATTTTCGATTGCGCAGCACAAGGAACGCTAAAGAGCAGGAATTCAGAATAATGTAACGGCAAGGTAAAATATATATTGTATTCACTGAAAAATATTTTACAGAAAGAAGTCCTTATTATTTTTCCTTATTTAATACGTTTCTTTGAAGAAAGAACGAGAGCAGTTGAGACTGTGGTATGTTGTGCACAAAACACCTGCAGTGAAAAATAATTCCATGTAAGCCAAGAAGTAAAAAATTAACATTTAAAGTGCATTTTTTAAAACAGTTTTTCCTTTGTTTAGTCACAAACTTTTTTTTATAAGAGAACTGTTCTATGAGTTGTTTCGCTCTTTGGGAATTCGAGATAAGTTGGAAGCAAAAACCCAACCTGATGAGAACCTTTGAAAAGCGACGGAGTTGGATGTTTGACAGAAATACACCTAATAAGACGTCTTTCAAGGGCCTACCGTACATGAATTATTCATCATGTAAGAAACTCATCATGTAAGAAATTCGAAGAAAAAACCAGAAGGCCCTTTGACAAAGTAATTTGGTTCAAAGGGAAACGAATCCAAATGAATTTTCAATGCGAACAGCCTACCTCTGGAGCCATATCAGGTAATTTTAGTTCAATTATAGTCGGATATCTCATCGAGAATGAAGTGTTTAACTCTTTTTGGCAAGAAAAAAAAATTTGCCTGCCCTTCAAGACATTTGCATCCTATGTACTAAATGTATTATTTACAAGCCGATATTAGGAAGAAAAAAAAGCAGAAACAAACTAAGCAAGGAAACGAGAAAGGTGATCGACCACATTTGGCTCTCAAGGACTTTTATGAACTGTCTATATTGACTTAGGTCATTAAGTGGAAGAAGAAATTCGTCAGCCATTCTCAACAAGTTCAAGTCTAGTCATGGCACATCACTGAATGAATTAAGAGGAAAAATTCAGCACGTTCGCGTAAAATTGGATATATGATGATACATAGAGAATAATACATAATACACAGGCGCGCGTAGATATGGAATTTCTCTTCGAGCGTTTAACTCGAGAGTTCATGAGTAAGCACCGCGAACGAGTGAGATGTCGGATTGAACACGAGAAGAGAAATTCCATATCTACAAGCAACCATGTATTATTTTGTTTATCATATAAACACAATAGCCCTCTACCGACAAAGAAAGCCGACCTCATTGAGGTATGAAAGTAATTGAATCGACAATCCCCGAATAACAATCGTAAAGTGCGTCGGTGGTATCTCTTAAGATGGAAAAATGCGTTGAATTGTGATTCAAAAACATGTCTGCGTTGAATCATGATTACAAAAACATGTGTTATTGTGTCTATCCTAGAAAAACAATAGCCCTTTATTGAGAAGAAAAGCTGACTTCGTTAATAAATGAAAATAAACTAATCAACAATCCCCGAATAACAATCGTAGAGTGCGTTTGCGCTAAATCTTAAGATGGAAAAATGCGTTGAATCATGATTACAAAAACAACAATGATCGTAATTCTCGATTCACAAAATTATTATTTATTGACTTTGTCCATAAGAAGTCTTTCAGGTAAACGGCCAAAATCGGTCTGTGGCAAATCTTTCAGTTGTCGATTTTCATTGGCTAGAAATGCCAACACCAAAGCCACTGAATAGGTAACTTTCGGTTTTTATTTTCCTATCTTGGTTTTCTTCACCTTCAAGGAGAGTTTGAACCTCACTGTCTGTCAGTGATAAGGATTTTTTAGTGTTTTAGCCGCCATAATCCAAGAGAGTTCCGACAAACTACCTTGTATTGAGAATCGTAAAGGCTTTGCCGTTCATTCATCAACCTGACCGAGTGGCGCCAAAGGCGAGTGACGTTTCAGCAGCTGATTAGCTATCTCGACACACGTGAAAAATACGTTTTGTAGAACACCGCAGTTTATGTGATAAATTTCTTTTTTTGAGGAGAATTTCTCTGTTTCGTCATGTTGTAACCATGTTGTTCAAAACAAAGAGATGCACTATTCTGACAGTTACAGTTCAGCGAGATTGCTTTAGCGGGAGTTCAGTACTCCATAATTTAGTTCTGGAAGGCGGGTTAGAATACATTTACCTGTTATACTTTTACAAGCAAACAATTAAAACCGTCTTGTCATAAATACAATTGTTGTTAGGTCGTTAGCAAGATTTCAATTTTACCGAAGCTGCGGCGAAAGTAAATTTAATTTCTACACCTGATGATCATGCCTAACAGAGCTACTGTATTATAAATTTTATTATTAAAAAAATAGATATTCTGTAAACAGGTAGTTGGGAAAAGAAACTGGAACATTACTCTGTGTATTAAACGTAATAGGTTCTGCGTTATATTAGGGACCTTAAGCATCGACAAAGAAATGCACGACGACGAGGTTCGCAACCCAAGGAGGATTGGGTCGAGGGTTTCGTTCTCGGCGGGAAAAACGAAAGTTAAGCAGTGTGTTGTTTTGAGGCAACGACGAGTTTTGGTTCTCTGACGAGTTGCTCTTGTTATGGCTTTCAAAAACGTCCGAAATCTGCTTCTAATTAATCACAACGATGGCTTTTTCGATGATGATGAATTTGTTCTGTACGACCTCTATGCATCGAAAAACCTCGACTTTCCGTACGATTCGTACGCACATTTTGACCTGAAAGAGCTTGATGAGTCTTAGAGTTTCGCAGAGTTTCGTTTTGGAAAACTAGATATTCGAATTCTGAAGGAAGTTTTGCAAATCCCAAACACGATAACCTGCAGTCAGCGCTCTGTTTGTGATGAAAAGGTCTTTGCATGCTGCTAAAGCGGCTTTCATACCCATGCAGATATAGAGGCATGATCCATAGGTTCGCTAAACCTGTTCCAGTTCTTAGCATGATCACCAATCAAACGATTGACTATGTGTATAATGTTCGTGGGAACAGAGTACTAAACTGGAATCATGATGTCCACAGCCCTGTCAACCTGCAGACTTACGTTGATGCTCTGACAGCCAGGGGAGCCCCACTGCCCAATTGTTTTGGATTTATTGACGGTACCGTTAGGCCTATATCAAGACCTAGAGAACATCAGCGACTTCTTTACAATGGCCATAAAAGGGTTCATGCCCTAAAATTTCAAAGCATTGCTTTGCCAAATGGCTTGATCGGAAATCTATGTGGCCCAGTTGGTAAGTTACAAAACAGCACAGGCCACCAGCTTTAAAGCAGGGATGTGACCAGCTTTTTAAGCGATGGCAGGCCTGATAAATGCATGACACCAAATGTTAAGAACGAGTCTCTGTAAGAATCAAACAAATTGGGAAATGAAATTTTCAACCCTCCTTCAAATTTTGCATGCAGTTAGGTACTCAGGGGGGATGCACAAAAATGCTTTTTTTAGAGGTTGCAACACTTTTGTTGCCATGGTAACAATGGATGATTGTTCTCGGCGGAAAGGCCATACTTACAAACAAAAATTTGCCTAAAAAGTGTAAAATGTAAATCTCTCAATCTCACGTCTGTTTCGACGATACAACTTAATACTTACAGCACACATAGTGATATTGTTCATCTTTATTGTGGCGCATTTAATTTTTCATGAGAGTTAATGTAAATACAGGAATCGATGATTTATCAAGGTACACTTTCGGCCATTTTGACTAAAGAGTAAAACAACTAACATATTTTTCTTAATTTCTCCAAAAGTACACCGATCCTTGTATTGAGACCAAACACCTAATTAGTACTAATGTTCTAGTTGCTAATTCTGTAAAAATCTCTGCGGGCCGGTTGCTACTTTTTATAAGGGCAGTTCACGAACTGACCTCAAGAATCTGTTGTTGCATATTTTGGTAATTTTTACATTTTGAGTTTTCAGCGACAAATTTCACAGACAGACTAACTAGACATACGTTTAAAAGAAGTCTATCTAATGATCAATGTCTCACAGGAAACTACCGCTTCTAGCCGTTATTTTACATCAGTCAAGATAAAGCTTTCCGTGAACTCTCAGTCTCATAATTAGGCTCAATGCATGGGTTCCTTTCTGCAAGGAATCATCCTTAAAATGAGTTTCAAAGGAAGTTGCATTTTCCTTTGGCTATTGATTCGCTGTAGTGTTCATCGTCAGAGGTTACTGACTTGCTAAAAATATCAAATTCAGCCGACAATTCCACCATAAAGTGACAGCTACTTCAATAATGAGCCAGCAACCACGCATGAAATGTTTACGTTCATTTCATGATAGGATTCAAGCTTTGTTTCCCACCCTAAATATTATCTCGAAAGATACAAACTAAGTTCTGGTAAGTAACAGAGCGAAAAAGCAGAAATCACCTTCTTTAAACGGGCGATTGACCCTGAAAACCACACACCCTAGATGAAAGTAGAAACCACGTTTGGTCAGCGGATTTGAGTTAGAGAATATGCCTGTCACTACGGACTCAATACTGTCTCTACATTTATTTTCACCATTTGCCACTGTTGTTCTTAAAGCAAAATATTGCCGTTTTTATTCTCTTTTGCTTTAATGTATTTGATAAGACTGGCTTTAGTAACAGGCCTATATTACAACCGACACAACATATGCTCCAAGCAGTCCATGTAAACGACGGTAATGATACTTTTACTTTGAGTTGCATGCAGCTCTTACGTAGCCTTGCAGGTACAGCTGTTAACAAAAGAAACAACACAGTCAACATAAGGCGCCTTTCGCCGTCCTGAGACTTGCAAGTCGAATTCTTCAGAGATTGCCCTTCTTCGGGACAAGAAAATATTTTCGGCATTGAAGCTTCAGTACAATCTTCGTGTGGGGAAGCGGAATCAGAGCTTGTTGGATCACTCGAATCTGACGCTTCATTTCCTGCCACGGTGACTTCATTTGCCTCACCAGTGTCATTGTTTGCCTGCCTCTTACTAGCTGCATTTTGAAAGACAGGCACAAAGTCGCAAAATCCAAAGGACGCGTTTTCTAGCCATGGGAAATCTATTTCCTCCGGCACTGCAGATCGACGCCCAAAACAGACGTATATTAGTTGAGAAATTTTTCATTTTAGTAGCGAGTCGTTTTTACAGAGAGAGGTTAAACTTGAAAGGGCATGGTTAACTTATCAAAAGCTGAAGTATTCTCAAACCCTGCCTTAGCACACTTGTAGTAATTTCTAACAAGGTATAAGGTATGTCGAAAGTCTTTTTTTCTTACAGCACGGTAGAACTTCAAGTGCAAATGAAAGAGTCTTTCATTTGCAGCCACTCATGCATTTCTGCATGTGATCTCTAATCAACAAGGGACAATACTCGTTCAGTAATAAGAGAGTCAGTAATATACTAGAGCTGTAGAAAGAGCACGATGAAGCAAACGTTATTGGTCTTTTACACCTATGGTACTTTCAAACGGATAAGTGATATAAAAGAAGATGAAATAAAAATCCTGCTTATGATGTGAATGTGCTTACCTTCGTGAAATTCCTCCCAAAGGAAGATTTTTCCAGGACCAACTTGGTAGGCCTTGAAGGCGTTGAACCCGTGGCCATCGAAAACGAAATTGTTAAAGGCATTCACGCCATCCAGTTTGAATGTTTTCGTGTTTGCCCTGTCTACCT